CCCAAGCCTAGACAGGGGAAATCGAGAGGCAGATGCCGGGTTCGAACCACGGACCTTCCGGTCGGTAAATTCGCGCTCTAACCACTTGAGCCATCTCGCCCCCCCCCCAGTAGGCGACAAACTGCAACTGATGCCATAAAATGCGTTCTGTTTTGTCTAAAACACCTCTAGAACTAATTCCCCTTAGGATAAGGCTCTCCGATGTTTGTACCAAAGATAACCGACGAGAGAGTGAATATTTAATTTCATAAATAGGTTTGATAGCCGATTTTCGAAGATGCTCTGGACTCAGACCTAGTCGGCATATAGTATAGTGATTAAAGATCAGAGAAGCATAATCGTCGGTAACAAGTTCATCGACAGCCTGGAAGATTGTCCTGGCATACATGGACAAAGGCGTGTATTGAATTTGATGTGACAGCTCTTCCATCCATTTGCCTACTCCGCCCATGCACTTTTGACCACCTGTTTTGCTCATCCGCACCCGCTATTCACTCTGTCGCAAAGGCTGCCCCATACGACACCGGTCAGTAAATGACTGACGTTTGTGTGAATGTGCGCAGCTGATCTGGTTACCCATGCATGTTTGTGCACTGTCTGTTGAGCTTGCCCTGACATGTTCTGGCGTGATTTCCGTGTGATCGCACCGCCAATCAGTCAAGAAACTGGCCTCGAAGGAACAGCCGAAACCCGACGTAACGAGCCAATATTCCGCTCGCTGTCGGAATGCGGACCTCCATACTGCGCATTGTCGGTCAGTGACAGACTTGCGCGCTTGCTGACACCAAGAACGTGGGCAAGTAAAGTTTGCTTACTTTTTTGCAAACCACTGAACTCACTTCTTGCTTTTGTTATTTGGGACCGTCAAACCTACCAGGGCACATTCTACAGCTGTACGGTTTCCCTAAAGTACACAGGGTTGCTGTGTCCCCGCGTCCAGTTCTGGATATGTGGAATTCACCGTATCTCAGCACTGTCAAGTGACCGCGTGGAGTGCTAGAGTCGATCTCACAGTGAGAGATGGTTTTTGATTTCATCGGTAGTAGTTTTAAACAAAAAGTGTTAGTTACTTTCATTGATTGGGGGGAGATGGCCCAAGTGGTTAGAGAGCGAATTTACTGACCGGAAGGTCCGTGGTTCGAACCCGACTTCTGCCTCTCGACTTCCCCTGTCTAGGTTTGGGTAACCTGGCAGTATCCCAGCTCTCGTGCTTCCTTCGGGTGGCACGGCAGTTAGGTACCGAATTTTTTTTACTTTTTTGATGTGCCACCATTACAGACTGCGCACCACATACGTGACCAGATCCCACCGCATGATTCCTGTTCAACGGAGCATTTTATCGACAGAGCGCCAAGGAGTCCCCATTGGACCCCTCCACTACTTGAAGGCATATTTATATCCAAACCTTACAAGATCATCCTCACTGAAATAGCGCTCTCACAGCAGATAGATTGATGTTACTTTCCTGATACGTGATACTCCTTTAGACAACTTTTTCAGTCCGTGTATGGGCAGTACATGTGTCGAACAATGAGGCAGCTATCCAGAGGAATGCCTAAACACACTGAGTGAGTTTTTTCAAAGAACAACAGCATGACAGTTTAGCCCATTTGTTCTTTACGGGACAATACAGATCAAGGTTGCAACGGCATTCGAATCTGTTTACAAAGCCGCATCAAGTTCTCCTAAAGTACCTAGATACGAGATTTTAGTCACTGTCAGATTCGTTACCATGTGTATTTAGAACCCCGAATTTGTACTGTACAGACTGTGGCAGCCACGTGACCAGACAACCAAACGCTGAGCCTACGTGACTTTCATATCAGAGAATTCCTCTATAAAAACATGTACTCACATGCACTCACACGAGATGGCTCAAGTGGTTATGGAGCACGAATTTACTGGCCAGAAAGTTCGTGGTTCGAACCCGACCTCTGCCTATGAACTTCCCCTCTCTAGGCTTGGGCAACCAAGCAGTATCCCAGCCCTCGTGAAACCTTCGGGTAGCGTGGCAGTTAGGCACCTGAAAAGTGCTACTGCTGAACGTTTCTTATATATATATATATTGCTTAAAACTTAATAAGCAGTCAACTCGTAGATACGTGGAGCTTTAAAGATATATGAGCTCGAGATAGCTCAGTGGTTAAGGTACCAACCTAGTTAGCGGAGCGCCCATGGTTCGAACCCAATCTCTCTATCTCGAGTGTTCCTGTCTAAACTTAGGCAACTCGACAATATCTCGGCCCTCGTGCGATGCGCGCGGCCGTTTGGCAATGCGGTCGTGACTGCTAGTAAAATGAGTCACGTGAGGGTGACTTCGGAACACCATTAGCCGCACCACATGAGAATTTCACGTTCAAACGGATTTTCCTGCATTGTCAATTCTGATTACGCAGTAGTGTGGGTTGGGATAGTTGAACCGAACGTGAATGCGTGGTACTATTCCATATGAAGTCTCTACGGAAAGGTGGGCAAGAGCTAACCTGGAACATTTTCAAAGCATGCCAAGATGTTTCCTTGACAGAGTTCCTTCATGCAAGAATGAACCATTACCCCTAGGTTTTTAAATTTCCTAAGGTAGATTCAGTTGACAGTGAGCATTTTCAACACTTTCGTTGGGCTTTTCTGACAAAATGGGATGGAAGTTGAACTCCTGACTATGTTTTTGCAGAACGCGAGTCATTCGCTACTGAAATTTTGCTGATGCATTGCACTACTCACTATAATTGAGTGTGACATGGTTTACCACCGTCACTTTATTGAAAAACTTTTATTTTCCCACTAAGGGTCAATGGCATCATCAGTGCTACGTTTTGTTGTACTAGACTACGTACCCTGTGAAGTTTGCCATGCAGACCCACCCAGGATAGCTGCGCCGTTTCGCTCTGTTCACCAGAATCAACATCGCGTGGAAGTCGATCAGTGGTCGCACCAATGATAATATCAACAGCGGGACAAAACGGCTATCAATCAATCATTTCATTGTGATCAGACATCCTCGATGGCCAATCAAGTTGCGGCTGTATATCACATCGAACTGTCTGCTCTGTGCATGATGCACCGAGATAATCATAGTCGCACTGCTGAAGCCGACCGGACCACCATAAATGAGGGAGTCAGCTGGATTCAGTAGAATATTCTATCCAAACCAAAATCGTGTGCAAACGAGAGTAGTTGTCTAGTTGGAATGTTGCCATCTTCACATTTGGGAACGGGAGCTAGAGACACAGTGCGTTTTGTTTTTTTGCATGCATCGGCCTATTGAGCTGCGAAAAAACTATCACTCATGAGTTAGGTCAAAATTAAACTATGGCATTGCGGGTCAAATGTGATTGTCTGCGACAGCGTAAATGGATGGCCACTTGCCAAGAAAACAAGTATCCCGATGTTAAAAAAGATTATCGTCCAGCCGTATCACCCTTTCGGTGCCTAGCTGCCATGCCAACGGAAGGAGGAACGAGGGCTGGGATACTGCCAAGTTGCCAAAGCCTTGACGGGACCAGATGATGTGCAGAGGTTGGGTTCGAACTACGGGACTTTCAGGTCTGTAGCTGGCTCCTTGACTACTGAGCTATTTCGAACTCAGTATCCCGATGGTGCGGTTGTGCGACTCCTGTGCGAGTCATTGACTTGGCCTTCCGTCGACTATGGTACGCAAAAAATCACGGTGGCCTGGGACAACCTTTGATCGGAGAAATCGAAATAAATAAAATGGCCCAAGCGGTTAGAGCGCGAATTTACTGACCGGAAAGTGTGGGGTTCGAACCCAACCTCTGCATCTCGAATTGCCCTGTCTAGGCTTGGGCAACCTGGCAGTAGCCCAGCCCTTGTGCTTCCTTCGGGTTGCATGGCAGCTAGGCACCGGAACTTATTTAAAGTACAACCATACAACTATCCACAAGGTCACCCCGAAATCTTCGTGACGGAGCGAGAAATACCGAGGTAACAAAGACCAACTGTTGGATGAACTATATTATGGACAACCGGAGCATACCTTTTTCCGATCCATAAACGATTCATTATAAATTCATCCCGTTGACTTAACGTTTCGAGCGACCATGTCCATAAACCCGCTACAAAAGTACGCTCAAAATGACTCTTCTGTGTAGCACTTGATAGCCCGATAAGGAATACTGAAGACTCGGTTACAGTAAACCGAGAGTTAAATACATTCGAAAAAACATGTTGTGCCTTAAACCAGCCAGGTCGAGAGCGGCAGGAATCCCTGGAACGACGTGATAATGCTGCCGACTGATTGCCAGAGCGCTGTGGGGAGGGCTTGAATTCTTGCTGTCATCCAAACACAGCGCGCAATCATTAGCGAAGGTCAATTACGTTGGAAAAAGAGAGCAAGGGAACATGTACACTCAATCATGAGGCACGAATTACGTAAAGGAAGCACTAATTACAACGACATGGTCAAATGACCCAATCAGCAGTTTGTTCAACTGATTAATATATAGGTCAGTGGCAAATTCACTCGCTATGATGGGAAGGTTATCGGTCAATTCGAAAGTGGGCTCTTCTTCTGTTCCTTTGTTTGTTTCTTCGAGGGCGAGTGCAGTGGAAAATTCCGCGCCGCGAAAAGTAATCCCGTGGGTTGCTTTTTCAAAGGGGAGTGCTGCGTAACCACCTGACATCAATTTGGAAGATGATTTATCAACGCAACGATTAGGTAAAAACAATGAACCCAAGTTCCTACGGTTAAATTGGTGGTCATTGGCCCAGCGGTTAATGCGTGAAATTACTGACCAGAATGTTCGTGGTTCGGTCCCGACCTATGCCTCTGGACTTCCCTGTTTAGGCTTGGGCAACCTGGCATTATCCCAGCCCTCGTGCTTCCTTTGGGTGGCATGGAAGCTAAACTCCCAAAGGGCGTTAGAACGTTCGTGAGATTGTGAGTAAAGGCAGTTTGAAAAATTGTGTACGACGAACACGCGACCCACCTTCCCGCTGAAACCAAAATGGCCCACGGTGAACCATGTGCATACATTACCTCACACGAACCGACAATATATTACTAAGCGAGAAGCAAGATGCATAAAGGACATACAGTATAGAAAAATCAATCGACCCACAACAGAACAAAAAGCTGAGGAGAAAATATAATATATTGAAGAAAGTTTAAAAAAGTTTAAATCACGAAGCATTGTACGAATCGCCACGCAAATCAGGGAGGGGGTCAAACGATGGAAGATCTAAATGAATTTTGGTTGTTCACCTCGATTGAGCAGAGCTTCCAACTCATCCAAAGTCCAATAGGCATGTTGAACAGATCCGTCCACACCGACGTGTGCGAGCCGGAAGCCGGGTGGATCCGTTCCAAGTGGAACGCAAACCGAAGAAGTGCTAATCATATTCAAGGGCGTGGCTTTCTGAGTGGTATTCACCGGGACGGGTTCAGGAGGAAGCCAGGTCAAAACGGAATTATGATGTAGATGGCCGGCAAAGACGTGGCGGACACCGACTGCATACAAACGGGACATGAATTCGAATCGATTTTTTGTGGGAATGTTGAAATAGTCATCTGGTTCATTCGGCTCTCGTTCGAAAAATGGGATATGCTGCGCAAATAGTAGAGGGAAAGAAGGGTTGCGTAAAGTAATCGGAAACCAAACAGTTTCTTTTTGGAGTTTTGTTTAGATTGGCTAGGCCTGCGACCCACCAGGTGATACATTGGGGGTAAAAGAATAGAAAATGATCATATACGGGTAAGCAAAACCTGAAAAGGTTTCGCTTCTGTTAGTTAAGTAGGTGAATTAGGAGTTACTGGTACCACGAATACAAAGTCTGATTCATTCCAACGTCAAGAACCAACTTCGACGGTTTATCGGAAGAGACTCATAACAGGGACGGACAGTTTGGTATCATGCAGATGGTCCAAGTGGTTAGAACGCGAATTTACTGACCGGAAGGTCCGTGGTTCGAACCCGACCTCTGACTCTCGACTTCTGTCTAGGTTTGAGCAACCCGGCAGTATACCGGCCCCCATGCTTCCTTCTGGTGGCATGACAGTTAGGCACCGAAAGGGTGCTAAGCTGAACGATTTTGGAGATGAGAAATAGTGGCATTTAAAGGAAGGCAGCTTGACTATCCGGGAAGTAATTGAATCGATCCCATGCAATAAGGGCCTACATTAGGCCACCAATGGGCACTGCTACACGGAGAAGAAACACCAAAAAGAGGCCGGACTCGTGGAATAATTAGTGGCGAACTGTGAAACGACATGCTGTTTACGCTGTCATCAGCAGGCAGCTTCGTCATGTTCACGAATAAGCTTTTCTGCACTAAATTAAGCTTTTGTTTGCGATTATTTCATTCAGTCACGAAATGACCTGAACAACAGGTACTGTGAAGATTAACGAGTTTCTTTAGCACAAAAAGACGGCCTATCCTAGTAAATCTCTTTCTGGAAAGTTCTCCGTGAAGGGGCTATGTAGTAAACCCCCTGCTTCGGAAGTCGGGAGTGATGGGGTTCTTTTACATCAAAGTAGTTTTTAAAAGTAAGCTTATAGTATAGACGTGATACACTACTCATAAGGTTGCTGAAATTGTTGGACAGTTTGAGAACATAATAAACGAGAGATTCAGCTGAGTTGCAGATGAGTCTCCTGTCAAAACCAAACGGCTATGCAAATGAGTGTATTTGTCGTAAGCTTATAGTACATCGTCTCTTTCAGTGAAATACTCCTCGTGAAATATTGAAAAGTGTTTAGTTCATCCGATAAGTCAACTCCTCGTAATGGACACGATAAATAAACAACACTGACCATAGGACACAGCTGATACAAAGTGCCAGATTCGGATAAAAAGAACTGACCTGTAAAACAATTGGCACAACACCGGGTTTATTTTTCAGATGAACCAACTGATCATCAAACCACTTTTTGAAATTGATCGAAGCAGGTTCGCATTTGGAATCGTCCCATAAATATTGCGAATTCAAGACCAGGAATTCGACGTGATTCACTCTGAATGAATAGTAGTCATCACCCCAAATTGCAGTATGCTCCTGTATGGTATCCATGGTAGGTGAGTCTCCAACATCATGGTTGCCAGGCAAAGTAACCAATCCAATGCTAGGATCCAGGTTGCTGAACGCATTCAAAAGATCAGCTGTTTGTGGTTCACGGTATGGATCACCAACGACGGCATTCACCAAGTCCCCGCAAGCAACAACAAACGTGGGCTTTGGAGACAGTCGATTCAGGAGGGCGATCGATTTATTCAACTTTTGTAATTCCCGGTCCCAGTGGTGGGGCAACGGACGCTTCTCCACGTAGTACTCTAACAAGCCGAGTTGCGGATCGGCTAGAACTGCGAACGTGAATGCGGATGGTACTTGTGTTGGCGAACTTCCGGGGATAGTGAGCGTGCGGGAGAAGGCCCGGACTAGAGCAGGGCAATTGATTGGCTTCATCTAAGATGGACAGAGGAGAAAATATGGACTGATTCACTATTCATACGGCAGACCACCGAGAAAGGTAGAACCCGCAGTGATAGACTCGTCAAAAGTGCTCCACGAACATCATCATACCAGAATCAACTCGGTTTCCATCAGTAACTGCCGTTGGATGGCAAGGGAAACTATCGCCACTAACCGCAACGCGACGACAACAATATCCTATGAAATGGATGTCTGATGCTAACCTGCTTGCATTTCCAATATTGTGTGATGCCCTTGACAGACACCGGGGGCATATTAGACGAATAAGACTACTGGAGTCTACACAAGAGCAGAAATCCCATCGGTTGTTGCACCTGTCAGGCGGAAGCCGGAAATAAGAGTAATATACGGGGTTGGAAACTCTGATATCACTTCGCGACGCCTCTAGGTCCCTCCAGTTGCTTCCTACTGGGTCCGCGGTATATAAACTCCTCATTAGCTATATTTTCAGGGTGGGCATCGAATCTCCAGGCACGTGCTAGGGATGTATTGAGGGCTCCACGGCTGCATACTTGATCGACCTAGTAGGTCAAACAAAAGATTGGGAATTTATACAGCCGGACGATATAGATAGATCGGATATTATCTCCAGAACGTCTGCACACGCGTGTTCCTTTCTTCATCATCATCATCAATGACAGCAACATCAGTGTTGGCACTGATGCTTCACTGCCTTTCTTGAGGGTAAACAAATAAAAAATAATCGCGCAGCTGTAATACTCTTTCGATGTATGACTGCCATGCTGCCCGAAGTAAGAGGGCTGAACTATCGCCGGGTTGGAAGCAGTCGAGATGATGAGGTTGGGTTCGAACCACGGATCTTCCGATCGGTAAGCACGCACCTCAACCAGTGAGCTTTCTTGCTAATGAGTAGCAAGCGCGCGCATGGGACAAGGCTGAAACACCAAAGTAGTCGAAGCATTGCGCGGTCGCACATCGCCCTTGGAGCAGTCCTAGACCTCATGGTTCGTACAGCTGATTCCTGAAACCATTTGAACCGCAAAGCGTTTCCCACACTACAAAGAAGCTCTTCATTACATTACGTGTTTCGCTCTGGGTTCAGTGAGCATGAATAACACGTATGCGCTGATAGCGAAAGGGATGCGAACGCGCACCATCCACAGTTGCTAGTGGCAGTCTCAGTGGAAACAGCCAATATGCTGTATACCACTAAGGTTGTCTCAAATACAAAACGGTAAGCGTCTCTTGTCATAGGCCTATCCTCGCCAAACGTGGGGGCGGAACATTCGAAATACCCAGCATTAGTCTACGGATAGCTGTATCGGGATGCCCTGTATGTATCAGTTCATGCTGTTGAACTAGAGACAGCTCAGTGACTAAGCTGTGAACTTAATGCCCGGAAGTTCGTGGTTCGAGCCCTATCCCCAACATTCCGATGGCTACTGTGTGGTAAAAAAATAAATCGCTCAGCTGTAGCACCCTTTCGGTGCCTAGCTGCCATGCCACCCAAAGGAAGTACGAGGGCTGGGATACTGCCGGCTTGCCCAAGCCTAGACATGGGAAGTCGAGAGGCAGAGGTTGGGTTCGAACCACGGACCTCCGGTCAGTAAATTCGCGCTCTAACCACTTGGGCAACGTGGCAGTATCTCGACCCTCGTGCTTCCTTCGTGTGGCAAGGAGGCTAGTCACAAAAAGGGCGTTACAGGTTAACGATTCCGTTAACTAAAAATCCATTTACCAACAGTTGAGTTCATTCCTTGATTTATTTCCACCGAGTGTCTTAGCGATAAAATCACGGTGGAAGATCCAGCGTACTGTTCCATGATGGTCCCGTGTTTACAGTCCACAAAAACTGTAAACGATTTCATTGAGATTTCATGACCCTTCGGTCTGTCATACCTTTTACACCTTGAAATGCCCACTTAACAAACGCGTTAGCTATGTTCGAATTTACTCATGCATCGTCCCTAGCTGATTATGGCTGTTAATTGGCTTGAACATATTGACGCCTCAGTACCATAAAACGGGACAACCAACCCTTAGAAATGGGATACAACCAATCAGGAATGACAATACCACTTTGATTCCCAGGTCCGTTTAGTGCGTATAACCTAATGGCCTTCAGTAGGTTGACGCTTTCAATGCTCATGCACTTGATATTACCAAACCGATCGTGTGTAGCAGTGCGCTAGCTAAACACCTGTAAAATAATATTTCAAAAGAAAAACCGTAGTTGATGCGATGGCGTAAACAAATCACACGCAGATGCTTGAATGACGTGGTTCGAGCTCAGCAAAAACGACACAATGCGGGTTCAGTGTGTCATGTGACAGAGTTTGTGACCGTAATACCTAAACAAAATCCAAAACACATACTTATAAATACACTCTATGTATTTTCCACTTCTTTTTTCGCACACTGTGTACAGGTATAAATCACAGTCTGCCCTTCGTCGGCCGATCGGGTCTGTAAAGTCACATAGGTCATTCGGTCATTGCCACAGTAAGCACATTCTTTGCGGATAGAAGGTCCATCTTGAGATGGCTCGTCAGCGTACTGAGATTCCAGAGCTTGTTTAAGCGTGAGTTCGGACTTGAGGATTTTTTTCGCTCGTTTCAACATTGGTTTGAAGTAGTCGGAGTCGGTGGTTTGTAAGGATGACCAATCACGGCAACGGAGTTCGTTTGTGAAGCTCACTTCCATACCATTAAACCAACGCATGAATGTGGGAGTATGACATTTACGGCAGATAAGTGAATCGGTGGCTTCCAGTTTATGTGGTAATAAAGTGCCACAGACGTAGCAAAAGTAACGATGGCTACGTTCGAGTCCATGAGGTATGGCGGTTGGGTCATTCATTGTGGACGTTGAGATAGTCAATCTCATTTGGACCAGTGACGGACTGCTCCAGATTACGCGTTCATTGCGTGTATCAGAGCTAAAAGAAGAAAATTGCATTGAAGTAATTATTACAAACGGCCAGTTCAAGAATCATGCCCACGGATTCCCTCAAATAATGCTGAAACGACGTGCGTTAGGTAAACTTATTGCTAGTCGAGACTAGCCAGTGACCTAAGGCAGCTAGTAATGTGTGGAAAGGAAAACATACCAGCAAAAACACTGCTAGTGAGTCGAACACTAAGAGTGATGAGGCAGCCTGAATCATCGAAGAAACGAAGCTGATGAAACTTATCATGCTCTGACATACAAACAATAACGGGGGTTTTGTAGACAACAGTAAAGCTACTGTAAAAAGGCGAGTATGGTTTCCGAATGCAGCCAGTTTTCCTAGCAATTTTGGACGCTACAACCGGTCAGTGCTTTAAAGTTAGGATAACCATCAGCATCCGCTTGACACTTCGATATGGGAAAAAGGGTTCAGCTGTAGCACCCTCTTGGTGCTTAGCTGCCATACCACCCGAAGGATGCATGAGGGCTGGGATACTGCCAGGTCGCCCAAGCCTAGACAGAGGAAGTCAATAGGCAGAGGTTGGGTTCGAACCACGGAACTTCCGGTCAGTAAATTCGCGCTCTAACCACTCGGGAACCGAATATGGGATATGAACACAGTGATAGAGCTTCTGGCATCTTCGGTATATAGATGACAACTACAGATGACAACCGACTATCATAGATATCGATTACAAACTTCAGGCAAGTCCGAAGCTGCTGCGTTAGTTCTCAGTTCCCGAGCTAAGGATTCTTCACTCTATTGGGTTCGCGTTAACCACTGTCAATGTATCACGATGGGGACCTGAACAAGTCTAAATATCAGCGCTCGTTGTTTACAGTTTGTATTTACAAACACTAGCTCTGGTCCTGCGAGAAATACGCTGTATAGGGGGAGTAATCGCTTTCCCGTGCAGCAGATCTCAGCGCACAAACGGGAGTCCAAGCCCGTCAGAGGTGCGATTTGGCAGGTTTGGGCGTGACGGGTACCGTTGTTAGCTGGTAAACGACCATGGAGTCAGATTGACCACAGCTATTAGCTGCCTATGGCAGGTTTCCCTTGTTGACCCTTCTGGAACACATCAATTTACTGGCGAGAAGTCTACACAAATTTCCCTGAAAAAATCAGCGCTTGGCAGGGAAAAAGGTTCTGACCGACGGGTAAAACAAGCATATATAGTCAGCTCATGTGGAGCTCTAAGGTCCACTTCCAAGAAGGATATCGATTTTAACTCAGACCGTATAGCGTCAGTGTTCGCCTAATAAAGATTGGATCATGAAACGATCGTTCATTCTTTGGTGCGAATGTTATATCCCTCCGGACAGTGAGTATATCAGCATCGTCTTCACTGTCATCACTGATAACAGCACCGGCGTTTTAAAGTCCTAACCATAAGGAAACAAAATCTTAGTAAAGACCAGAAAAAGGGAGTAGTGTAGAACCCTGGGTCTTTAGAAGCATCACCATCATCATCATCATTGTCAGCTGTAAGAACCGCGTACTCGTCGTACACTGGTTGTAGCTGCCGCAGTTTCGTTCACCGATGATTTGGGGGGAGGGGTAGGTAGCTGCGCATTGCACGCGCAACCAAGAATAAAGTGCTTAAATATTCAAGAAGCACAGAAATAACCACATCTGAGATTGTACCGAAGGGAACTGTCTGTGACTCCGTTGATCGACGGACGCTACAACAGTATCCATGGGGCAAAGATGTCCCCATACTCTATTGATCTCCTTAAAGGTTGTACGCCAACCTCCATGGACGCGTGATGCCTTTTGATAGGCCGGGTATCTCACCCAAAAGAAGTGCAAGGATTGGATGAGAAACTTCCGCCTCATGTTTGGTATGCAAATTGCAGTGCTGCTATAAGGTTTGATAAGATCAAGCTCTTGTGCTTGCGAATGGGACGACTGAAGTAGTATCCACCTGGGTAGCTTTGTCCATCTCGACAGGTCAGTCAAAGATGATTTTACCATCCTCATAAGGAAGGCCAGGACAACTCTTGTCAACTTGCAGCACTTGTGGCGCAGGCCTGACACGGCTTATCTGTCAAGAGCAGCGTTTAAAGTGCTGCGGTGCGCTACAGAGGCGAGATTGCTGTGGTTAGAGCTGCTGCTACCCATTGATTCAGTATTGACGACATTAGTTTGTCTTCTCAGGATTGTCCACGACCGAAGCTGTGGCAACTACCCTACAACAGGTACATGTTCCACGGCTGACGCTGAAATAAAAACGCATGCCGATACGTAGGACGACCTCCCATAGTTTATTGAGAGTAGTTTGCACGGGTAGATGTTCCCCTACAGAGACGACCTAATCTTAGTATGGTGGTCTGTGTGCCTCTGTAGCTCAGTGAGTTATTGAAAGATTCCATTTTGATACTCGATGGTCAATTCACCGAGGTCCGATGAACGCGGTCTCCTGGTCCTACATGCTGGGAGTTGGAACAGACAAGTCGACCTGTTCCTTAAAAATTTGTACTACTGTATTAGTGTGACGGAACCCATCTGCTGTCTTGCGATCAGGTCTTTGAGCTAACGGTTTTGGTTGGGGACCCTAATTGTTCTCCTGACTAAATGTGGGTGCCCTGATAATATCCAAGGCCATGTCCAACGATGTCTCGCTTAGCCATTGAGATGCTAGTGGACCCGGAAACATAAAGAACTCCTCAGAGATGGATCCTTGAAAGGCCGATGGATGGCCCGATTTCGGATATTAACGACTACTAGGAACAGATATCCAAGTCAGGAATTACTGTGGTACGACCCAACCAACTCTAGCCAAACATTAAGTGTCTGATTGAACCGTAGCTATGCTGGAGGCTTGGCGGCAAATTCCTCCTGGTTAGAACCACAACTCAACCCGATGCATCATCCATTACCAGGCGAAGTTGGCTGTGCAGACCAGGAATCTTGATCGACACGAAACACCGGAGGGGTTTAGGGTGAGGAAACTGCTAGAAACATCCGCAGGTTGTTCCGCTTGATTCGTTCCACTGATCCTCGGAAGCCACTTTTCAGTGAAACTATCAGGGGAAAATGTTTTGCTGGTAAGCAGCGAAGGAGATCATTAGGACTGTTGAGCAAGAAAAAAAAT